TGCACCACTCTGGTGGCGATCAGTGGTCGAGTGATCATCGGCGATGCCCACTCTGACTTCAGCACCGGCACCGAATTGTAAAATAGCAAATCATTGAGCGTAAGCACCGCAAACATCGGCCTCCAGGTTGTAAGTCCATTCTCAATGGGAGTCTGCAAAAATGCCGTTAGCTAAATGACCACAATACAAATCGTAACACCGATATAACAAGCCAAAATCAGCCATGGCAACGAAATAAGGGTGTACATGCCAGCAACAGCAGCTGAACTGGTTATGTGGCAAGAATGAGAGTCAACAGATGAACAGAAGCGAATTATCGAATGGCACCAATTTATAGAAACATGGAGAAGATTGCCAATGTGATGGGAACGCTCATTTGAAATGCTTATGCAAAATTATATCGATCGAAAAGACACAGGACGAAGAAGGATGGAGAAGTGGTCAGCTGCTGAACGATAAAAAAGCAACTAGCCTATTCCGTCTGGCATACGTTATGCCCTGACAATATTAGCCACACTATAGTAATTCATTAGAGATTGATGCAAACTCTTAGTAACTGCCACACATCATTAGATTTGAAAAGTGGTGCTGTAGCCGCTTAAAATACTAAAGCAAATGGGCTGAATTATTGCACTGCGTTCTATTTATAAAACACAGAAGTTTCGGCCTAGTCCAACTAATATTATCAAGATAATGTATACCAGATGGAAAAGACCAGATGCATTGGCGGAATCAGGAGAGGGGAGGGGGAGAGGAAGACGAGAGGTCTTTTGCCCCTCTCGCTCCAGGGAGCTCAGGTAGCAGCTGTTTTACTGTAGAAAACTCTTTCTGACACCGTCTGTCGCCTCCCCGCCCCCTCCCCCTCCCAGTCGTCGGCGTACTTTAGGGCCGACTAGCGGGGCGGGAGAGGGGAGGGTGGGATGTTCAAGCGGTGGGCAAGCGAGCTTGCCAAGGTGGAGAGGGAAGAAGGGGGAGTAGTGACGAGCGAAGGAGGAAGAAAAATCGCTTCCCCTCCCCCAGGAGACAGCTCTGGATCCGCCTATGAAACCAAGTGCTAAATTTCTCATTTGCAATTTTTAAGCAACAAAAAACAACAAACCTGCTCAGCAACCCAACCCATTCGTCGGACTTGTGGATTGTGCCCCAACATCAGATTCACTTGAGCCAACGCTTGTGTTAACAGAGCACATGCACAGCTGTGTATGCTCTCAAACCAGGCATCCGCTTCCGATGCATTACTGCATCTGCAAAAAAAAAAATCACATCGAAGTGAAGCGATTCTGAAAATTAAAAAAAAAAAAA